TTTTAGTGTGTTATGAATTTTAAGTTATTTCTAATATGTAAAAAATAAAATAAAAGTATACAATTTTCGTGTCGATTTTAGGTTCATGGGTCAATTTCGTGTCACGAGTCATTTTCGTGTCGTGTCGTGTCAACCCGTAAAGTGGATCGTGTCGTATTCGTGTTGCAATTTTTAAAAAATTTCGTGTCACGGGTTGTGTTCGGGTTGAATGCAAATTTAGAAAGAAACGATCAAAGTACGACACGTGACACGAATTGTCACCCCTATTTATTGTATTTTTACACAAGTTTTGATTATAAGAATCTAGTTTTGCTCCAATTTGTACATTAAATTCTGAGGTATGTTTTAGAGAAAAGAAAAACATGTATTAGGGTACTCAATTTTGCGTTTTTTTTTTTTTAATTTTGACACGAGTTTGATGAGATATTTAACATTTAAAAAATACACTTTTAGCATGATAGTTCTTCCGCAAAAAGGAGAAAAAAAATATGATATTTTTTTTAGAATAATCCTTTCACTAAAAGAATATACATGTGAACAAATGTGAAACAACTTATCTATTAATCGTCAATTTAAAATGTATATTTAAATCATAATTCTTGATCTGACATTTAAAATTTTAATTTTTTTTATTAAAAAAATACTATAACAGAATTAATAATTTAAATTTAAATATATAAAACAATCAAGTCCTAAATATTATCCTTCTTGAACAAAATTTTAACATATAGAATGGGTATCTGAGAAAACAGTTCATTCATTCGATTGAAGCCCAAGTGCCCAAGACAACAAGCGACAAGAACAAAGAAAACCCACCAAAGTTGTTTATCTATTAATGTTAATTATTACAATTAAAAGATTATTTCTTACGTAATAAAACAAAAACAAAAAATCTCTAAAGGTCTCAAAGAAAACGACTAAGTACGAAAACTGTACTTATGAGTCTAATAAGTAGTTTTTAGTGGTGGAGAAGAGAATATTATAGACATATAGGCTTTCCTCTTAGAAACAACTTTTCATTGAAAAAAAAAAACAGAGAGAGACCAAACCCACACATATAAATTCGTTTAGTTTGTTAATTTAAAATTTTAATTTAAATTAAGATGTAATTTTATATGAAAATTTTTTATTAGAGTAAAAAAATTAAATGTGATTATTTTTAAAATTTTTTACTGTAATAAAATTTAAAATTTAAATTTAAATAGATAAAATAAACAGAGTGAGTAAAAATTTTCATAATAAAAAGTAAAAAGAAAAAAGAATCTGGTCAGCAGAAAAAGTTGTAAGAGTGACTACAAATAGCACCTGAAATGCGTTATACGCGGCAGAGTGGCAGTTCCTCTGAGAACCCATGAAAGCCAAAGTTGCCTGCTTCTTAGCTAAAGCAAGCACTTGCTATTATATTTCACCTTTATGAGATTTTTTTTTTCCCAACTTTATCATACGTCTTTTAATGCATATTTCAATTTATTATACTTGGGGGAAGAGATGAGTTGGCTGAGAATTAACTATATTTTATGGTGTGGACGGCTTCATGAAAAGAGCATGGAGGTCTCTCTTTTAAGCCGTGTGGCAAATGACAATTGAATTTGAGCCATTGAGATTTTCACTATTTGACAGAAATAATACATCTTAGTACCACATTTGAAATCTGAGGACATGTTATTTGGTTCACGCGTTTAAATTAATGTTTTGATTTATTGACAAAAATTTTGTAAGAGAATTATTAGTGAGAAATTCTTAAATTTAAATTTTTTGTGAGAGAAAAACATTACAGCAAAATCAAAATCATAAGTTTAAATATATTTGCCACTGATGTTTTTAGATTATATTTTAAAAGAAATATTTAGAAGGGAAAAATAAAAGATGAAAATGGAATATTGAACTTCTTTTGGTAGTTTGTTTCAGAATAATTTGAATTCCGTTATGGCAAGAATGACTATGAATTTCCGCCATTAAATACTTATTAGTACGGCTTATGGCTCCTATATTTTCTTATTAATTTCTATACATGACGATTTAGTCCTAAAATCTTAATAAGAAAAGTAAATTTAGTCCTTGATGACCAAAGTAAGAGATCCTCTAATCTAAATGGTATTGAAATCACAATTTTCTTCAACTTTAACACGCAAAACGAATGAAACGAATGAAGGCGAACGTTTTCTTGGTGCAATTCTTGTGTCAGTATTCTCCTTGTAGAGGACACATAAAAGTAGGACATAGGAAGAGGGCCTATCCATTCATGGTGCTTCAAAGGCTTTTTGCCTTGAAATTATAACTTGTTTGTTACATATCATTTTAGTGAGGTGATATATGTGTGATGACCATATCCATGATTCACATGTATCTTTATTCAGGTCTAACTTTAATGATGATTTAGTTATCTTTTGGGTTACTTTCACCAATGAAAGAAGGGAGTTTCCAATGAAAGAAGTGAGTTTCTTCGGTGTTCTTTTTTTTTTAGAATACCGGTGTTCCGTGCTTTTTTAACTGTTAGATCTAGTCAAAACCACACCAGATTGAAAAAATATGCAAAAGATATAAATTCTAATATAAATCTGACGACTGAAAAGTAAGGAACACCAGTATTTTTAAAAAGGAGAGAATACTGAAAAAAGGATCATGAAATAATACCTATTTTTGATCTATGATAGTCGTTTTTTGAAGTTTATCTATCTTAGCATTTTCAAATATGCGATTTTGACATTTTTTTTTGTTGTTGTTGGAATGAAATGACCCTTTTGTTGTAAACGATTTATATACAATCTAGCATCGGAGAAGGGAGTTTGTCGTCCGATGTGACCATGTCGTTTTCTAGGGTTTGGAAATTGCTCGATGTACACTTTTATTTGTGCTACATTCCGTCTAAAAAAATTTAGGGTTTATCTCACAAATAGTCCCTGAGGTTTAGTCTCAATCTTATTTTAGTCATTGACTTTTCAAACGTTACATAGTTGGTTCCTGAGATTTTATTTTGTTTTAGTTTTGGTCATTCCATTAATTTGGTGTTAAATATTTGATGGAATTTGTAAAAATTATAGACTAAAATTGGAACATATAGAGTTTAGAGACTAAAACAATACAAAAAATCAAAAGTTAATTTCCACATATAAACCTAAAATTTTAGCTGTTTCTAATTTTGGACTCTAATTTACACAGATTATATCAAATTTTAACGCATAATTGATAGAAGGACCGAAAATGAAATAAAAGAAAACCTCAAGAACTATTTGTACGATGTTTGAAAAGTCAAAAATTAAAGTGGAATTGAGTGTAAACCTCAGGACCATTTATGAAATTAACCCAAAAATTTATTAATGAAAGAGTCTTAACTGCGTTTTCAAAAATACCATATAGCTAAACTTCTAAAATGGATGCCAATGATTAAAGTAAGACAATGGGATATATATCTTCGAGGATCAAACACCCCATATATTTTTATGTGATAAGATCAGTTCTCCCAGGCGCTATTGCATTAAGGAGCTCCTTGGTAGAAGATAAGGTTTTGTGTCACTCAATATATAGTGTTATTATTATTTTGTGGGTTTTGAAGTTTGTGTGCCTTAATCTTGTTGTTCCTAGTTTAAAGTTTACTTGGTTTTTTGAAACTCTTTTCGTCAAAGCAAGTCTTGATGCCATTATATGTACCGTTGTGCTATTTACAGAACTCTTTCAGTGAACTGTGGATCATCTTTGGAGGAATTATTTTGTTTTTCAATTCAAAGATGATCATGATAAAGGGAGGATTTTGAAGGTTTGAATGCTTTTTAGCTTGTAAGTGCAGACCGTACTAGACCCAAAAACTCAATTTCGGCTATAAGTGATTGAGAAGCTGTATGAGAGGTTTAACTATTAGTCATTCAACTATGAGCACAGTAATATTTTGGTCACTGAAATTTTAATTTTGCCCTTTTTATCCACCTGTTTCTTATGGTCCTTTAAAAAAAAAAAAATTGCAAATGGCTGAGATAATAAAGTACAAACAATTATGCATAATCAACCCTGAAAATTTCATGAAAGATGGAATCCTACACATGTATGGAGAACTTTATTCACAGTTGAGAATGAAGAATATTATATGAATAATTAACAATATACACATATTAATTAAACATAACCCAATGAACATATACCTTTCCTTATGGCATATATTCACCAAGCTGCTAAAAACTTGAATATCCCATCAAAAAGTGATGAGTTAGTGGGCCACAACATATCATCATCAAGATCAGAAATCAATTAATACAAATATCAATCAAGAATTATGCATACATAAACGCATCAAGAAGAGATCATGATCGTGAGAGAAAAAATCGCATTAATTACCCCACGACATGATCTCAACATATATAAAATATAATGTCACAAAATAAAAAAAAAATTTAATATAACGTCCTAAATTAATACATGAGGAGCACAAACCGAATGATCGGCATTGTACATTATTATTCATAACATTTCAGAAGACGTAGAGAGCGGCTAGTTCCTCCAAGGATTCGGAGCCAAGACTAACTGGATCTGCATTTTCCAACATCCATAAAAGGTGATCAAAGAGAACCACCTCACACTTCACGACCAAAACATTGTTGTTATTATTGTTGATATGATCTTGAATATTATTATTATCTCCTGATGAGCCCTTTTGCCTGGACTTGTCTATTAGAGCTTCTAGCAAAGGATGGCTCAAGTGCTTGGTACTTATCACGTAGCGCTTTTTCGCGCTTCCCACGAAGATCGTCGCGCTCTTCTGATCATACTCGTCTAGTTGATCTTGTTGTTGATCACAATGATCATGAGTACTGACCCAGAAGTCTTGTCTGCTGGATTTTGATCTCAGGTTGCTGTATGACGAAGATCTCGCTAGCTGCCTAGACAAGCTCTTGCACTTCCTTAATATCGAGTTGATCTTCTTCATGCTATGATCGCTACTAGCTAGATCAGATGTGTGTCTGTATGAGAGAGAGAGAGAGAGAGAGAGAGAGAGAGAGATTTCGGAGAAGAGAGAGAGCTAGGATTAATCAGAAGGGTGATATTGAATGATAATGTTGATGAAGAAAGATAATATTATTGGACATGAGAGATCTCAATAGAGATATTGGATCAAAGAAGACTTGATGTATACTCATGAGATATATATGTGCAATGTTGATTATATATATAATGTATATATTTACATATTAGAAGGGATCGGGGGTTACATGGGGTTGGGTGGAAAGTCGTTGTTTTCCGGTGGTAACAAGTGTGGGGTCTAATTGCAACAGCAACGTCTTTTAGTGACAAGAACAAGTCACCCTTTTTTTTTTTTTTTTTTTTTTTGGAGAAAGGGAAAATATAAAATTGTTGTGGGGGGCTTTCACACGCACAACGGACAGACAGACACAAGCTCTTGTCACTAGTCAAGCACCCTTATGGTACGAGAGCCAGCTTGTTTTTTTTTTTTTTTTTTTTTTTTCCTCAATACATATAATATACTTATATATATGTATATTATATCATACGATAAAGTATTGTATACATTGTAGATGTACTTTAGATCGACCATTGGATTTGTATGTGACCCGGATGTGTAACCACGTAATTGAATCGGCAGTCAATCAAGTCTTTGCTGAGTGATCAAGTGGGGAGATAGTGATACTTAACTGTACTACTGTACCAATTTGTACACACATACATTATGAGTTAATAAATATCCAGAGATTATTCTAAAAAAACAAAAAAAAACAAAAAGTCCAGAGTTTAGAACGAGTACCTTAAATATACGTTCTAAATTGGCCACGTTCTGATTTCCATCGTTTGAACTTATCTTTAGTACCTATTTGTTCAAAGTTATATGCACGTCTACAACATATATGTGCGTGAGTAATATGTAATTACAATAACATATTACTATATATAATTACATATATATATGTGTGTAATTAATAACAGAACGCTTTTAATCTCTCTCTCTCTCTGTGTATATATATATATATATATATATATATATAGATATGGTAGATTTATTCATGAGTGTTGATGACTGAATGTACTCTCTCTCTGAATCCTATATCACTAGAAGAAGATAAATTCGTAATTACAGTTTGATATTATTAGTTACTATGCCGATCAGTGTATATATTTTTTATGTCATGCAAGCGTCATTCAAGATTGATATCTTGAAAATAAAAATTTAAAAATTTTAAAAAAAATCATGGCACGTAGAAGTGTACCTGTGCAAAAAATTTGGCATTTCTAACTTTTCTATGGCAGCTCCATTAATAATTTAGAAATTAAGGAAAAATATGCATGGAATATTCAGATGATAAATAATTGAAACGTTAAAAATTATTAGCGATTATATATATACATATATACATATATATAAGTAAAGTCTCTGTCTGGTATTGGATTGAAGCGGCACATGTATATTTCTTTTAAAAACATGTATATATCCTCTTAAAACATATATAAAGGATTTCAGACAAATTATAAGTGGCTCTCCACATTATACATGTTTTAAGAGGAAATATGCATGTTTTAAGAGGAAATATACATATTTTTAAAGGAAATATATATGTACCGCTCTAATCCGATACCAGATTGGAGACAATTCCTATATATATATAGAAAAGGCATATGGTATGTGTGTGTTTATATGTTAGTGCATGTAGTCATGGCCAATTCGAAAAGTAAGAGAGAGATCATGTAGCTGATCCTTTGTGCCTGGCTCTCATAGCTCGTGATGTAGTTCTTTATTAATGTGCTTGGATTGCCGTTCCTTGGTTAGGGTTTCCGCAAACATTTGCTTAATAATTCATCGTGCATGGCTCCCTAGTCATAACGTGGAGATCAGATTTTGGATCACGCAAATCATAAAACCCAGGTGTATAAATTTGTCCACGAATTGTTATTACAGCTCAAAGAATAAGGGGAGAAAAATGTCTTCCTAACCACGTCCAATGGGTTAGTGTAACAGTAATGATATCTTTTTTTTTCTCTCCATCTCAAAATGAATTCATAATTCGATATTCTACAACCCCATTTTAGGAATATCTCTAACCGTAAATATGTTGCGCAGTGTTAAGTGTATGATGATGTGAGTGAAAATTAGACTCATCCTTCGAGTAAAACTAAGTGGTAGCTTTTCTGTTTCATTAGTGGGCTCTAAAATTTTTAAAGTGACAAAAGTGATCATAAATAAAATGATGACACCAATAATCTATTTTTTTCTTTGAGAAAAAAGAAGGGAAAGAAAAAGTCTTTTTTTACTAGAGGAACAACAACACAAGATCGAGGAACATTGGATCCCACTTTGTCCCTAGTACAAACTTATAGAGATCGATATATAGAGAGAGGATTATTGATTATTGCATGGAAGAGACACTTAGGAGCCAAGGAGAGATGGTAATGTCCCACTAGACTTTATGGAAGGCTTGACTAACTGCCTTGTCTTTTCATCGTAAATTGACAAAACCTCTGAAATCTGAACGTGTAGCAATTTGTCATTTTTCCCTCCCCACATGGCCCCTCCTCCGAATTTTGGGGCTTTTCCTTTGCGCAATCACAAACCATAGATTTTGTCGATCCATCGAACACCCCTACACACCCATTTGGGCATCAATCCCAAAGCAAATTGTGCATGTTGGTACGTACATATATATATATATATGTACATATGTATATATGCAGATTTATGTATATAACCCTTACCCAATTCGTTTCAAGTTAGTTCTAAGCGTGCACAACGGTCTTTCCTACATTAACAGTGTATTTTTGGTGGGGTGTAAAAGAGGGAGGAAAAAAATAGAGAAAGGATTTTGGATAGGGAAATGAAATTTTAAGTTGTTTGGTAGAGAGGAAATGAGAAAGGAAGAAAAATAAAAATTCATAGGGCCTACCAGTTTTTAACATTCATAATTGTTATAACTCTTGAGTAGAACTCATTTCTAAAAGCTAGCTTGTAGGGAGAGGGTGCTCAAGTGATTATAAACCCACATGTTAAGCCCATACTTTAGCAATGTGGGACTCAATTAGGATCCTAACATACCACCACGCTTCCGACGCCGACGTCGACGGCGGCTCACTCTGGATGGCCCACTCTGGCCTTTCCAGGTCGCCCCTTCCGCAACGTGGGCTTGAGGAGGAGCATGCTCTAATACCAATTGTTATAACCCTTAGGTAGAACTCATCCCCAAAGCTAGCTTGTAGGGAGAGGGTGCCCAAGTGGTTATAAACCCACATGCTAAGCCCATATTTTAGCAATGTGAGACTCAATCAGGATCCTAACATTAATCCTTTCAACTTTGAGAAGAAAAGACGAGGAAAAAAGTTTGATAGGCAAATGAAGTGTAAAATAATAATTTTAACATTCATCATTCATCATATGTTTATTTGTATTGGGGTATTATTATAAAATGCATTAAATTTGATATTTTCTTTTTACTTTTATTTCTCTTCTACCAAATAACATGAGAAAAATCCTAATTCTACCATTTTACATTCTTCACCTAAGTATTTTGCTTCTCCTTTCTTCCTCTTTTTTATCCATCTTACCAAACATATCATAAGGTCTCAAATTTGATATAGACCTAAAAATTAAGAAAATTAAAAATAAAATAAAAAGTTAGCCGTTATTACAAATATGAATGTTGTGAAGAAATAAATAACTGTGTAAGCGAATAGATAATGACAGTGAGATGGTTGTTTAATGTCGCTGAAAATTCTAAGGGGGAAAAAAAATCATGAATGTTGAATATATATGAACTCACCAACAAAAGTAGAAGTATTTTCTTAAATTTTGAATTACGATTACAACTCTTAGAATTATAAGTTTGCTCCGAAAGTCCCATCAAAATTTAACTTGTGACGTCTTCTTCTAAAATTAATGACTTCCCTTAAGTCAAACTCACATACTTTAAATCTTTTACTCCGTTTATTTTACCGATTCGAGTTTTACTACAGTAAAAAGTTCTCAGAAACAATCACATCTAACTTTGTAGTTCTAACTTTGTACTACAGTAAAAAGCTCTCACATAAAGTCACATCTCAACTCGAATTAACGAACTAAACGGGTCCTAAATCTTCAGTTTGCCTTCCTACTAATTGACATATATACTCTAAGCTTGATTTGCCTTAATTAGCTCCTTATTGAACTTACTCCAAATCCTAGAATGCACAATGGCAAGCGAGAGATTAAAATATACTAATAATGTTATATTTTTCTCTCACTCTAATAAAAGCTCTAAACATGAATCAAAATATCTGTTCACTTAAAAAATTAAGAAAAGTCTAAACATGGGAAAGTATCTGGATACATTAATCCACTTTGGTCTAGGGTCGGATCTCTACAAGATCCGACTTTAAATTTGATTTTCAACCTTAGATTATCTTTAAACCGTCCATAATCTTTGTTGGTATCTTCTACGAGACAGATGACTCTAGTATGTGTTGACAATTATACTCTTTTTTCTTGTAATCAAATAAAAATCTTAGGATAAACAAGATACTTAATGGTTTTTTTTATTTATAAATAAATGTTAAATTGGAACTCTTAACAATTATATAGATGTGTGTGGAAGGGGAGCAGATTGGAGGACTCGTGCAATATTGAATGACATACATAGATTCTAGGCACTCAGTTTTGTGTGTGTACATGCAATATTGAATGACATACATACATGTATATATATACATGCACATACGCCAAATAGAAAAAGGAAAAAAAAAGGGTATTCCATATATGTGTATGGGGCAGTAATTTGTGTATTTGGTGCTGATCAATAATGTGATTATTGCAATGGAGATAGACACAGATGTTGCGTTAGTCTCCAGCCTTATCTGGCAATAAATACAAAGTTGAGAAACAGTCTTTAGCACAAGTACTTCTACAGCCAAAAAGATAGGGACTGCCAATAATTAAACTTCGGTCACTAAGGTGACGTTTAGTTCATAGGATTCTGTGATTCATGATTCTGATTTTTAAAATTTAAATTTTTTATGAGAGAAAAACACTACAACGAATTAAGAACCATGATCCAGAATCAGACCAAAACCATCGAAACAAACGTGACATAATATTGATTATTGTATAATGTGTATAACATACAACATGTATGCATTATGCTGAAATAT